AAGCAGATTATTAACTAGTTTTGATGTACTGTTCTGATTCGACAGCTGATACAAAATAATCATTTCAGGTCAGGTTACCTTACCCTTCTGTCATGTTAAGGCAGAGCCAATGTCCACAAGTAAGTTCCAGTACTCTTTTCTAACTTGTTCCTTTTATTTATTTTTGTTAAATATTTTTTTAAATATTTTTTTTAAAACATAAGTTAATTTAATTAAATATACAGAACTAACAGATACAAAGTTATTCCAATCAGTTATAGTGAATGTTTGCTTGACTTTAACTTAAAACATCTTTAGAGTAATTTGTGTAATTCTCAGCTTCAATCATCTTATTTAGTTTTCCTGGTTGGTCAATAAAAATTAACACTTAGTTAAACTATGATTTTTGATATACACTAACTACAGAATTTGCCTTATACCAATAATTGAACAAATCACACCATTACCCATATGGTGCAATATTAAAGTTTTAGCGGTTTTCTATTATTGTTAACTACTGTAAATTAAACTATATAAATTTGTAAACATTACAGCAGTTTTAGGTGTTCTGAGTACACATGCCATAATGATCATTTGGAATATTTAGAATATATATATTACAAAAGGAATACTGGAGTAGAGTGACCTGAACCTCACCATTGCCCTGTTCAATTAAACATTTATATAGTTGCCTAATCAAGTTCTTTGCCAGAAGGCATAATTTTCTGTCTAGACAGAAAGCACAGAACAACTGATTTAATCGTTTTCATTTATTACAAAAAAATATATCCAGCAAATGTCCCAGTTGAAAAGATAATGAATGATTTGGTAGCATTTCATGAAGACATGCCTCATGTAGAAATGTAGTATGCATCTTAGCCATAATGACAGTTTTTACTTAAAGGGTAACAGTCATAAATAGAGTTTCTTAACATCTATTTTTCTTAATCATTTTTAAACATGTGGCAAAAGGAGAGACTGGAGTTTTTGAAGATATCTAATAGTCTTCGGTGTAAAGGTTAGTTGTCTGCTATCGAGAGATCTTAATTACCAAAAATGGAAAATAAAAGAAATCCTTTTGCATTTCATTCTGAAGTTCTTCATAAACAGATGACAGTTTTTATGAACAGTGCTGTTTACTTTTTTGTTCATTATATCCCATCTCTTACAGACTGCTAAAAGTAATTTAGCTATACTCATCAACTGATCCCAACTGATCTTTTGAAAATGAAAAATATAAATACTTTTTGATCCGGAGGTAATAGAACAAAATTGGTAACGTTCTAAGATGCAAACACATGAAAAAAGAAAAACTGAGGTGACATTGCACAATGGCTGAGTGTCTGCATCTCCCACAGTTTAATGCCTCACCTCATCAGTTTAAGGGGCAATGTCTTATACAAATCGTATTAGATGCAATATTTTTTTCCTGTTGAACAAGGGAATTATAAAATTATGGAATCCAAAACCAATGGTTTTCCTATAAATTAAAAAAAAAAAAAAAATTTAATTAATTAATTAACTGTTGTAATATGATTCAAGATTCAAAATTTGTTTGTCACATTTGCAAGTGCAGGGACCCAACCCCGGCCACTTGGCTTGTGAGTAACAGTGCTCTCTCACTACTAGTCCCAAGCCCCGATAAAATTGGGGACAGTTGCTTCAGGATGGGCGTCCGATGTAAAGACTGTGCCAAATCAAATACGCGGACCAATGATCCGATGTGGCGATCCCTATCGAGAACAGCCGAAAGAGGAACAACAACAACAACAACAGACAATATAACAATGGGTCTAGGGGTAAGGTAGTTGGGGAGAGTGCAGACAAAACAAGAGCATACAAAAAATATACATTTGAGTAAGTATCTGTATGTACACTAAAGTGTCCTTTGCATATACCATGTGTGCCTTATGTGACATGTATGTATAGATGTTTGGTGTGTGAGTGTATGTGTAATGTCATGTGCATATGAGCTGAAGGGAGTTGGTGTTCATGAATTCAGGGTTCTGTTGGCTTGGGGAAAGCACCTCCTTATTCTCTCAGTCCTGGCTATGTGGTCGTGGAGGCATTTACCAGACTGCAGATATCAGAACAGTCCGTTGTTGGGGTGTGTGGGATACTTTAAAATCTTTACTGCTCTGAGTCTAGGCAGGTATATGGTATTGAAGGCAGAGCTAAAGTGAAGCAGGCTTTGTAATTTCCCTGTCTCTTGTCCATTCTGTATTGCTAGCTTGAAGACTGATGTCCAATGTACACAGTGGTAATGACGACTAAGGTGAACTCGCAGCAGAAATAAAATGGACAGCATTTAATCATCACTTGTACCAAGTTCAGTGAGCTGGATTGAGATAGTGTGGCAATGTTGTTACTAACACACCACTTTTCATTCACAATAAGACACACGCTACTCCCTTTAGATTAAATGGCTTCTGCTGTTCATGCAATGAATGGAAATGGATTCAACAGGCTGGATTGCCATATCAATTCTCAGCCTGTTCTGAATGCATGCTTTCCTCTATGGTTTCTCCGGCATCTCCTGAAAGTGTGCTTTCCATTATTTTCTCCATTGTTTAGGAGTATCTACTGCAGCCAGGTTAAGTAAACTCTGCTGAATAAATTGTCCATAATGTAGTAAGTTGATTGTAGTCCAACATTTAGTCGTATGAGTAGAATGCGGCAGTCAGTGGTATAAACAAGTCACAGAAGGCAACATAAAACACTAAAAATATGCACACTGTTGTATGAGCTCGCATGATGACATCCAACCACAGCAGCACCATCTTGTCAATCTTGAGAAACTCTTTGATTTCAGGCAACAGCTCTCTGAATCTTGCCAAAAATGTACCTCTGCTCAGCCATCTTATGTCAGAGTGCAACAAAAGAACTGTGCGTTCCACATCTGCTTCCTCCAGGTGTGAACAAAATAGACTATGCTACAAGCTTCATGCCTGAATAAAAATGCATAGCTATGTCATCGGTTGATTCATCAAAGTAATGAGAGAAACACTGACATGAACATGACATTCACTGCCACTGTATCCTTTTCAGTTGCTCTCCCAGATCATACACTAGTGCTTCACATCACCTTGTTATAGTACTTCTTAACAACTGAATATCCGTGATGTCTTCTCTATCACTGAATGATTTTTTTCTGTTTCCCCAGGACATGGCTGACACAGAACAATGCAATCATTTCTGCTTTTCCTTTTGCATTATCACTCATGAAAACTGACTGCTGTGCTGCCACAGTTTTCCACCATTCTTTTTTGCAACTCACAGTTTTTTTTCCCTGGGTCCCTGGAGGACTAGTGGTTAGGCCACAGCACTATCACCACTGTGGCCCAGGTTCGATTCCCAGCCAGGTAACTGACCCCAGCCATTGGGGTTGCATGCAACAGTGCGCTCTCAGTGCCAGTCCCAAGCCTGGATAAATTTGGGGAGGGTTGCGTCAGGAAGTGCATCCAGCGTACAAACTGTGCCAAATCAAATACGCTGGCCAATGATTTGCGGTGGTGACCCCTAATGGGAGCAGCTGAAAGAGGAACAACATAGATTTATGCTATGTTAATATATGTATGTAGTTTTAAAATGCTGTTCAACATTTCCTTTTTTGCAAAGATTCTATCACTGCAGACGAGGCAGTTATATGAAAATACAAAAAAAATAATTGTGCTACTATTTCTTTATGGTAATAGTATGTTTTTTGCTCTATTTGCTACACTCATTTTCATTGTGACACAAGAACAACACTACCAAAACTTGTTTAAATGGCTAATTTACCTATTTACTATTTTTAAATACATTCCTCACCATAGTTCCAAAGTATTGGAACTGCAAAGCCAATTCTTTTGATTTTGTGATACAATGAAGACATTTGGCTTTGAGATGAATATGAGATGATAGTTCTCAGTGCTCACTGCTGTACTCACTTTTACATTTACAGTACACTCATTTAATTGATTTAATTTTTCCTGATATTGGTACATTAGACATACTAAAAATTCAAATTTATTAATTTTTCTAATGATTTTTATTTCTTGATTTATACCTCAATCTGTAGTCCTCTTTTGGGAGTACTATGGTCTTTGACCTCATATCATATTGACCTCTGTTTTTTGGTTGTTGTTTTTTTTTTTAACTCTGACATGCATTGACTACTGTGGGGCTTCCCAAATCAAGTCCAGTCAACCTTTGTACAAAAACTGTATAAATGCAAGAATAATCTCTATCCCATTATCTCAAGAATAATCAGTGGAAATGGGATGCACTTAAGCTCCATTTCAAATGTCATAGCAAAGAATGGCAAAGCAAAGCATATCAACGGTCTGAATAACTGAAAAAATGTGATCTTTGTTTTTTTTTTTTAAAGGATTTTCTTTTTAATACATTTACAGAATGTTGGGAAAAACAGTTTTAGATTAATTATCAGGGGGTTGACATACTGGAAGGCAATGCCTTTCTGCAACAGTCTCAACAGTTCATGAGGACGTGGTTCAGTATCAAACTGTGCATACATGAGACTATATTTTAATTACAATCACCATTAGCATACTCAAAGCATACTCAAAGCACTATTAGCATACTCAAAGCATACAATCACACCATTAGCATACTCAAAGTTGATGGGAATCATAAGTTGAGCATTTAGTGCTGAGGTGAGTTTTGCAGCAGGATTCAAAGCATCTTGGGGCCAGATGCCAGTGTACTCAAAGAATTGTGGATCCAGGAGCTATGTTATTTGCAACATTTAGTTCAAGTTGCAGATTGTGTATGCCTGTCTTTTTAACACCATCCATGCAAGAAACATTGAGTTTACATTCAGGAGGAAGGTATTCTGGGTTAAAGCACTGATGAGAACCTTGCTGCTAACTTTTACACCAGCCTTGTCCAGACCCGCCTGAGGCAGTCCGCCCAAGAGTAAACCCTCATACTTGTACACAAAGGTCTTACACGCAGCAAATTCTGAAAAAAAATATTTTTTAAGAGCAACAGTTATAAATACAGTTGCATAACACTGCATGGGTGGTCAACAGACACCTCACAACAGCAGTGGAACTCTATGTTCCCCTTCAGGAACTCGAGCTGCGTCGAAACGCTATGGGAACGCCTTCAGCAATGGATGGGCGAGACGTCACAGGCAGGGTGATGTAGCAACCCAGAAGCTTCTGTTATTCAGCAAGCGCTCTGTGTGTATTGTCTGTCTATTTTGTATTGTCTGTCTTAGCAAAAGACGAAACAAAACATAAGGGCGAGAGCGGGCAGCGTTTTAGACTGTGTGTTCCTCCCTGCCCGCGCTGGAGGACGTGGAGGGCGCCAATGATAATTCGCCCCCTCTTATGGATTTGGTGGCGGGAACGGAGACGGGCAAGTCCCTTTCTTCTTCCTCATCCGCCAGATCCACTGATCCTTTTATGTGGTTTCGCTTTCGCCGTGGCATGCCTAAAGCTCGCGAAAAGACGAAACATGAGGCGAAAACAGGCAGCTTTTTAGACGGTGTGTTTCTCCCTGCCCGCGCTGTATTACGGGTGGGGATACACACGGTCTGTGCGTTATCTGTTTAGGAGCGGAGCCCGCATTGCATGCGCTTGCCGCTGCGTGTGCTTCGCTCCCGGAAGGCTCTCTTTGAAGAGCCACCACCTCCACGCCGGAGCCTACCTTTTTTCCCCGACCTCCACACCGAGGTGTCGATGTCGTGGGGGAAACCTTTCTAGACTCAGGAGATCGATCTGCCAACCCTGCCACCCATGGTGCTTCAGGGCACAGTGGTCTCCGGCGAGCGCTTCTCTCAGTTTCCGCCCGGGAACGTAGCGGTACTGGGAGGCTCGCTACCTCTTCGGAGGTTTCCAGAGCAGATAGTTTGGCCGTCCCCTGCCGGTCCACCGCTTCAGGGCACCGAGCTAGCCGCTCTCATTACACCAGAGCGTGACTGGGAGCAGTTTACATCCCTGGCCATCTCAATATGGGAGCAGACGCCCTGTCGAGGCAGGGGCCGATGCCCGGGGAATGGAGGCTCCACCCCGAGGTGGTGGAGCAGATATGGAGTGTGTTCGGCCGGGCTCAGGTGGATCTGTTTGCGACTCAGGAGACATTGCACTGTCCCCTCTGGTTCTCTCTGATTCATCCAGCTCCTCTCGGACTGGATGTTATGGTACAGACGTGGCCAAGGCTGCGTCTGTACTCTCTGGAGAGAGTGCGCCGGGACGGGGTCCATCTGTTGCTAGTCGCCCCGTTCTGGCCGGGCCGAGTATGGTTCTCGGACCTGATTTCCCTTCTCGATGGGAGGGATCTCCTCTCACAGGGCGCCATCTTCCACCCCCGCCCCGAGTTGTGGAAGCTGTGGGTGTGGCCTCTGAGGGGGCACAACTCATAGCTTCCGGTCTCTCAGCCGAGGTTGTTGAGATCATTCTCCAATCCAGAGCTCCCTCAACGAGAAAACTGTACGCCTTGAAGTGGAAACTTTTCACTTCCTGGTGCGGAGATCGCCGGCTCGACCCAGTTAACTGCCCAGTTGGTACAGTGCTGGAGTTCCTGCAGACCCGTTTCTCCGCAGGGTTGACCCACTCCACCCTGAAGGTTTACGTGGCGGCCATTGTGGCCTACCACGCCTCTCACGGTGGTCAGTTTATGGGCAGACACCCCCTAGTTACAGGTTTCCTCCATGGTGCGCTGAGGCTGAAGCCTCCGGTACGATCTCGTGTCCCTCCGTGGGACCTGGCTGTGGTGTTGAGGCTTTCTGTAAACCTCCTTCTCTTGAGAGAATTGGGGATCTACAGGCCCTCTCAGTGGCCCTCTCTTTTTAGGCTTTGCGCCCGGTCTGGCCAATGCATTTCTCTACCCTCGAGCGGGGTATATTCCCAAAAGTTCCCTCCTCTACACCACGGCCTGTCGTACTCCAGGCCTTCTGTCCTCCTCCCTTTCGGGAGCCCGACCAGCAGAGGCTTAACTGTATGTGTCCAGTGTGAGCACTGGACGCATACATCCTCAGAGCTGCCCGGTGGGTCGTGGATGCCATCTATCTGGCCTATGAGTCCTCTGATCTCCCCTCGCCCTTGGGAGTCAAGGCTCACTCCACTAGAAGTGTGGCGGCCTCCAAGGCCTTTTCTGGCAGGTGTCCCTATGCAGGACATCTGCAACGCTGCGGGTTGTTCCGTGCCCCTGACTTTCATCGGGTTCTATGGCCTCGACATGCGAGCCACTCCGGGCTCTTTTGTTCTCTCGCCCTAGCTGTGCCTTTTCCGTTCCCATAGCGTTTCGACGCAGCTCGAGTTCCTGAAGGGGAACGTCTCTAGGTTACGCATGTAACCATGGTTCCCCGAGGGAACGAGACGCTGCGTCTCAGTGCCATACTTCCGGCATCCCTGCGAGCGCTTGCTTCATTCCTCAGAAGTTGGCGCGGCGCCCACCGCTCGTGCTTTTAAGCTTCTGGGTCGCTACGTAACCCCACCTGTAACGTCTCACCCATCCATTGGACTGATTACACACGTGATTCAGAGCGCGGTCATGCTGAAGGCGTTCTCATAGCGTTTCGCCGCAGCGTCTCTTTCCCTCAGGGAACCATGGTTACATGCGTAACCTAGAGACGTTTACATTTATTTCATGTTTATTTATTTATTTGTTTTTTTTTTACGTGCCATTATGTTTAAAGAAAACTGTATCGCACCAGATAAAACTGTAATATGATGAATCAGACTTTGGACTAGAATCAAGTTTAATGTTTGATTTTGATGTGTTCTTTTTTTTCATAGTTCTAAGGATCAGGTAAAAAAAATTTGATTAGTGTCAACAACAAGGTAATATCAAACATTAGTCAACAACCACTTGAAAATGAATAATTTTTTAATAATGATTAGGTTCCACTTATCAACTGCTTGCATTGTTTTGATTAACTGTTAGTGGCATATCTAATAGGTATCTGATATAAATAGATCTTAAATACCAAAAAATGGAAAAGAAAAAACATCCTTTCGCATTTTTTAATGAATTTCTTCATCAACAGATACTGTATTTCCGACAGTCCTATTTTTTTCGTAACTACACCCTAGCCCATGCCTTATCGCTTACAGAATGCAAAAAGTAATTTCTCTATATTTATCAATGTTCAGTTGATCACAACATCTTTTGAAAATGGTGGATAGATAGTCCACCATTAGATAGTTTGGTGGATAGATAGTTTGAATAGAACAAAGCCACTTATTAAGGCACACACAAAAAAAGCAAACGCAAGGTAACATTGCACAAAGACTGATTGTGTGCATCTCCCATTGTTGAATGCCTCACCTTATCAGTTGCAGGGGCAATGTCTTATAAAAAAAAAAGTATTATCAGATATAATCATTTTTACTGCTGAACAAGGAAAGTGTAAATTG